AGCAGGGGAACCGCAAAAGGGACCGCGATCTGTGGTCTGCTCTGTGCAAGGGATCACGATCCCAGCTCCCTGTCGACACACTCCAGGGTTATTCGCACTTACTTCGGCAGCAGAGCTGGGCTCCGCTTCAGTCCGTCTGGGCTCTGTAGTTAGAAACTCCCCCCATTTCGCAGACGGGTTTGCCAAGGGGTGAGCAGAGCAGGTGCTTCGTCCTGCCACAAACAGGGAGGAGCGGCTGCAAGCTGCGTTCTGCACCAAACCCTTCTGCTACATCGCTCTGCCTGTCTCCCGCACATATAGACGTATTGTTCCTCCAGAGGCCAAAGAGATGGTGGAAATTGCTGGCTCATGGGATCAGTGACCTGATATAAAAGCTGCTTCTCATGTCTACGGCAGGCTTTGAGCCTGCAGGCGGGAGCTCGGGGTGTATTTGGAAGGTGTCTAGCATGCTCATGAAGGTCCTCTGATGACCAGTACTTTCTGAACCCAACAAAAACTCGATCTGGCAGCCTCGGTTTGCATCCAGGGAAGGGACCCAGCACAGCTCCAGGGTAATAGCCGGGTCTCCTCCCTGTCCGATTTCCTTCCTGGCATCCTCCCCCCCAGGCCGGAGCTTCCTTGGCCTCTCGCTCTGAAAGCCGGCTCAGCAACACAGGAACACGGGCCATCGGCAGGAACTGCTCCCTGTGCAGACAAGCAGGAGGAGGCGAGAAAAACCGGCTCTTCCCTGGAGCAAACCGGAGAGGTGCTGCGTGGGGAGGGGGAGCCCTGCACCTGCTTCCCGGCAAACCCTCAGACTCAGAGAAACTCATTTCCTGCTCAAGCTCCTTGTGATTCACCCCTTTGACAGATGGGCTCTGGCACTGCCCTAACGCACGAGATGCGGCAGCCTGCACTCGTCTGTCTGCTTCACTCCCTAGAAATATGAGACAGAAGGAGGAGAGGGAGAGAAGGGGAGAAAGGGAGGAGGAGGAGAGGGAATACTTTTCCTCTTTATGGAGAAGGGGCGAGTGAGCAACTGTACCAGATCCTCCTCTGCTGTACAGCTAAGCCAAGAATTTGCCCCTCTTTTGCTCCAGTATGGTTATTCCAGCTGGGCCCTAAAACTCTAGGAGGACTGAAAAAGATTTAGCCATGACAGTCTGAGGGCAGGCAGAAGGCAGAGTAGAGATGCACCATACAGACCAACTGAATCAGAGATGTATAAGCTTTTTTGAGCAAGAGCTCCCTTCGTTGGAGGCTATCTGATGAAGTGAGTCTATAAGGTGCCTCTCTACACTGCCTTCTCTAAGAGATCTGCAAGGCAGAGCGAGACAAATGTAGACAGCCTGCAGCCCTGTCTTGCCTTGCGCTAGGCCATCCTCTTGATGCCACCTTCCTGCCTAGAGCCTTGTGGTTTTTCTGCTGAATGAAGAAACTAGGGACCAAGGGATGTGCTGGGTATCTGGACATCCCCATCCTCACACAGCAGCCCATGGACTTGTCTAGCTGAGTCTTAGTGCCAATAGCACCCGGTTGCATCCAGGACTCCCTGCTTGTACCTCACCCATTGGGCTCCCTGCCTAAATGACTGCCAGGAAACCTCCCAAAAAGCCAAAAGCTTCCCAGAAGCCCACGGGTGATCTGAATGCCCAGAGGCGGCTGATAGGAGATGACAAAAGGAAACAAAGGGACCAGGTAGTTTCCACCTGCATAACCTACTGAGGCTGCTCCTCCAAGAGAACTGGCTGGGTCCTTACAAGTGTCCCGTTCCTCTAGGACATCCCTTTTCAGTCCCTTGCTGTAGGCGAAGAGATGCTAAAGTACCGCACCTGTTCAGCCCCGATTCCCAGTCTGCTCTCGCAGGGCCTGGCCGCAATGTCACCACACTGGGGAGTGAGGAGACCCTTCCTGCAAAATTAGTCCGATGATAACAGGAGAAAGGGGGACGTGACCATATAAAGGGGGAACTGGCCACACATAAAATTGAGCCGCTGTACCCATGTCATAAGTCTACTCTATCCTATGGCAAGTGGAATACAAACCATGGTAATTCAGCATATTTTTCACTTATTGCCAGCATTTAGGGATAACCCACCCCCCACATTTAGTTTCTATCTAATGTAGGACAGAGCAAACACATGAAACAATTTCCACAAACCAACTGATGCAACGTTAACCTGATATAACTGTTTTGTCTGTCCATGTTGCTAGGGATGTTTTTGGGCAGTGGAAGGGGATCGCAGTGGTACTTAGGGAGGGCGCGGGGCTAATTTGTACCATGCCTGCCAATGAGGTTGGCCCCCACTGATCCGAGGCTACAGCCTCCGGCCTCCGAATCTATATGATGCACTGTGAACAGGCCCATTTGGACACACACTCATGCAAAATACACTTGTCAACAATGGGTACTGAATCAGAGGAAAGATATATCCAACTAAATCTGGAACAGTCCTTAAATATCACACACACGCTGCTGCATGCCAGAACTAGCTGCTTTTACCTGTGCAAGTCAAATGGATGTTCACATTTCTTTTTCATCTTTTGATGCAAGATGAAAGCCAAGGTAAGATCCATTCTGACGGCCTGCCGCTGTTGGGGAAGTGCACACTACACATAAACGAAGGCAAAGAAATTAGAAAGCAGGAGAGATTTAGACACACAACAAGACAAGGGAACCTCATCCATGCTGCCGTTAGAAGGATTACCAACCCCGGACACAGTCGAGGCTTGTTAGCACGGGGGAGAGAGAAAAGGTTATCTGGTGCTCAGTGCTATGGCTGGGAAGTCAGGAAACACGGCCTCAATTGCTAGCTGTTTCCCTGCCAAACCCCAGACTCAACCCACAGAGTGAAGCTGGTCTGAAAAAATGCCCCTGAGCTCTTTTGAAAGTCCCAGCCCTACTGCTTACCTCGACTACAAAACTTCATCAGCTTTGAAGAGTCAAATAAGCTCCCAGGACGCGAGCCACAACCCACTAGTCCATCAGGCCAGATGGAGACCAACCGGGCTGAGCCTTCTCCCAGCTACTCGCCAAGGCACACTCTCGCCTGTAAGCGAGGGAGGGCCAGCGTCTCAGCTCAGCTGCGCTCCTCTAAATCCTGAGCAATTTGTTTGAAGATAGAAAGACTTGCTCTGGATTTACCCTCAGCGTGACGAAGATCAGACTAAAGCCCGTCGCATAGTAAAACACACAAGAGGAGGAATCAGTCAACAGAAACGGCCTCATCTTTGTTGCCCTTCCCAGATCGGTGGCCAAGGTAAGGGAAAGGGCACGGCTAACTCCGACAGCAAAGCAGAGCATTAACAACGAGAGAGCTGTTCGGCTATCTGTGAGCCAGTTTTATAGAAACGTGGGTCATTAAAATGCCAGATCTCCTCGCCCTCTACTCTGTACACCACCGATTCCCGCACGGCGTGCCACAAGCACCTCGGGTAAAGACGGAGATGCTTTCCTCCCCATCCAGCACCTGCCCCAGCTCCTCAAGGCTGCCCCTCTGGGTACTGCTGCCACCCTTTCCTACCCCCCCGGGCAACCCTTCCCATGCTTATGGGCAAGCAGACGCACGGATGGAGCTGCCCTTTGCAGTCCTGCTCATCCTTTCCACTCCTGGGGCGGGCAGGATGGGCTGCAGGGGTAGTCGCCAGCATGCAAGACCCTGCAGGAGCAGCCTCAGCAGCAAGGCACTGCCCTAGCTCCCCTCCACGCTCCTGGGCTCGGCAGGAGACGGGCAGTGGAAAGAGCAGGGCACAGCACGATGAGGTCCTGCCTTGCCACCCTGCAGTGGCACCAGCTAGTTCAGGGGTCCTCAACTCTTTTTTAGCTGCAAGGCCTCCAAACTCCAGGTCTTTTCTGACTTTGGATCTACCCCAGTGCTTTTCAACTGGGGTGCTGCAAAATTCAGAAAAATACATCTCATCTCATCACTGCTATGATTTCTTTTGGCAAGGGAATGGAATATAGCAAGTTTTGAAGAAGTTTGTGCACATACACACAAGCACCCACCCCTTTTTTGGGCACAAGAGAGAAGTATGCTGCCAATTTTAATCCAGGGGGGAAAAAAGCATGCTTCAGGTATGAGAAGCTTGAGAAACAGTGCCGTAACACCACCTTGGACATACAGACTGTGAAGCCGACAGGGACCTCTAAGGCCTCTAACCCCTCTTCCTATTTAACGCAAGCTGTAGCATTTCACCCAGTTCCTCCTGTCCCAAGTCCAGTAAATGATGTTTGTTCCCGAAAGCAGCCAGCCCTAACTTGACTTGAAGCCATCAGCTCAAATTAAAAAGGATGCTGAAAGCAGAGATTTTAAAACATTGATTTGCTATTGGTTAGCAAGAGAGAGCCGTTACATACCCACATGTGCATTAATCTGTACGCTATACACTCAACTTTCAGCATTTCTCTCTGTTCAGGGAAAAACAAGTTTCATTTTGCTTATCGTGTCCTCGCTCTTTCAGGGTCGTGTGTGCAAAAACATCATTGCAATGCTTGGGTTGCAAATAGTCTGAGGGGGTTGGTTTGGATGTTTTTGAACATATTGCAGACGTTCATAATAATCACACAAAGATTGCTACTGTCTTGTGTTTGGTAAAAGCTGCTTTATACAATGCCTGATATTTTGGCCCAAAGTAGGCCCTGTAGGATTCTTCAAAACTGAAGGCAAATATGAAAACCCACAACTGCTCCCCACTAAAAAAACAAAACAAAAAACATGACCCCTGCACAAACTTCAATGCCCCAACACACGCAAGTCTAAAAAAAGTCTACCGGGAATACAAATCCAATCTGTCCTTAAAAAAAGGGACAGCTACGTTAGCTCCCCGAAAGCCCCAACCATTTGTTGCAGTAGGAACATAAAACAAGTGATTACTATAAAACTCAACAACAAACTGACTTTCGTAACAATTGAATAAATAAGATTATTTGCCCTTAATTATCTCCCATTAAGGGTTAGCCTGGAAGAAAATGCCTTCCCTAAAAAGAAGTTCGTTACACAGCAGAATTCAAATGTAAATTATCTTTATTAATATGCATGCCAGTGTTGATATCACAGATGCTGTTACAAATCTTTGATAATTAATCTCTAATACAGTTTTAGGGCGGGGGGGGGCGGGGGGCGTTGGGTTGTTTTTTTAACGAGCCCGACTTCCACCGAAGCAAGATCTAGCTTTGAACGAAGCCCGTTGTCCTGCCCCCACATGCGCTATTCTGCGTAAAGGACAGTGTACAAGCGCTTTTCCTTGATTCACTCTTCAGCACGTTTTCTGCCAAAAAAACCCAACCCCAGCAGCCAAACCAAGTCGATCCGACCGCCTGTCTGGAGGACAGCAAGCGAGTCCCAGAAAGAGACTGCTCTGCCCTCCTCTCCGCTCAGCGACTAAGTCACCTGAAACCACTGATCCCTCTGAAAGGAGCAGAGGGAAGATAAGCGGTGAGCTCCTCAAGCCCCCATGGGTCTGCTTTCCTCACTGGAGGTGGGTACCAAAAGTCTCCTAGCTGTCTGTATCCACTCCAAATTCCTAAATAGTAGCAGAGTACAGATGGAAAACCACATTATGATACAACCGCTGTCCGTGTCCGGTGCATTTTCAACAGCCTTTAAGCATGCATCGCACAGGCAAGTACTTTCTATGATGCAACCAGATGCATCCAGGGCACCGCACACCTGGAGATAGGACAAAGCTCCTACTGCAAAGCCTTGGGTTGAAACCGGCTGCTTTTTAACCCTCTCCTTGCTCGTGATGCACACCCTGAGAGGCTTGGATACGTTTCACATACAAGATTTCTGCATCTACACACTGTAGTGCGGTTCCCTTGATGAAGGGAAAGTACTGGCAGACCCGGGAGTATTCAAATGAAAAAAACTGAGATGTCATTTTAGGGGAGCATCTGGGGCAGAAGGGTTTCAAGAGTACTTGAAAGGTTGTATATAGCAGTCCAGCCATCAAGGGCCCTATTTGCCCCATCCATCATGCCAAAAAAGGTGTGACCTTGATTCCAAGGTGAAAAGGGCATTACATATGCATGGGCTCACAGGGAGGGGCCGTGAATCCTATGGGACTCAAATGAAAGTCCCCAAGCCAGAGGAGGTGCCTTCATTAATAGATGCCCTCCTCTCATCTTTTTAAATACCTGACTGCCAAGATACATCTGTGTATTCATGGGTGAACATTGTATTTACTCACATACCATGCATACCAACCCCCACCCCCAGTCAGCTCCCGCCCCCAAAATTGGGATGCATGTCTTAACACAAAAATTTATTTTTGGCTTGGAATAAAAGCACCCAACTTTGATTCCTGCTTGCAGAAGCAGTGGCATTTCTATTCAGGCAGCTGAGGAAGGCAACTGACCTAATGGCTTGTTCTTCACTCCTCAGGTATTAAGCTACATCTCTCCGGTGTGATGGCCTTGATATCCCACTAATCAAGCCAATCTTTCTTCTCACCATTCTGCTGTCTTTTAGCTCCTTCTAGTCTCTCTTCTCCTATTTCACAGCCTTATCAATTTTTTTTTGCTCTTTTCAAAATGTAGCTCCACCCATAGAGACCAGTCTTAAGCAGTAGCTGGGGTTTCAACTTTGGGTGAGTGAGCTGAACATTAGGCTCTGCCTATGCAGCCAGAATTATAGAAACATTTTTTTCCCCCTCATTTTGCTTTCCCAAAAGCAAAGTGTGCATTGTATGTGCAGGTGTGTGGTACATGTGAAAATATGGTTGCTGAAAGACACCAGATGAACTCTCAGGTAGCTTGCAGATGGACCCAAGCTTTTTAAACTCTAGCAGGTACCATAACAGGAATTCTTGACCAAGGTACTGGGGCACCTTGGGGTGCCACAAGATCCTCTGAAGGGTGCATAAGGAGGTGAGAGAAGAAAAGCAAATAAAGGCAGGCTCAACCTTCAGGTACAAGGAGGTAAGCAGATAAAGGAAGGCTCAGGTTCCCCCGGCCTGGCTGTTCCCCTGCCCCCACTGCAAGGAGGTAAGCACTGTAATATATAAATTAGTCTTTGAAATGGCGTGCTACTCAATTCACAAATGTTATGGAAGGGGGCCTCAAGTCTGAAAAGGTCAAGGATCTGAGAGAAGCCTCAAATCTGCAAGATTTGGTAGGGGAAAACCATTCGTGTTGACAGGAGGGTGCTGGCACCTGGATGCAAGATCTGTCCATGACTCAGATACAGCTGTATGTTTATCAGGAGCTCAACGGCATTTGAAAGCCACAATTAGGCTGCGTTATCATTGCTCGTCTGCTTGCTTCCTGAGGATTCCTAGGGAAGAGAAAAAGAGCAGAAGCAAGGTGCATGGGATCCGACATAGACTCTCGGTCCTGACCCACCTCTGGACCAGAAACAACTCATTTCCTGCCTTCCCTGCTCAAAAAAACCCCCATGGCAATGCACACGCACCACCTCAGGCTGGGGGATAACAAAACCAGCCTGCTTCTCTGCAACCCACTGCCACCAGCTCTGCACGCTCATCCTCCGTGCTATTCACTGTTCCACCCCCATGTCCCACGGAGACACTAAGTGGCAGGACACCTTCAGGGAGGGCGAGGGTCCCCAGTATGGCATGTATTCTACCCTGATCCCATGAGCCACCATGGACCTAGACTGGTAGCTCCTACACGGACCCATCTGCAGGGAAGCCTATCTAGCACGCTTCTAAGTCCCCCCGCAACACCTGCTTCTTGGGGGCATGCTGACCTCAAGCGCCCATCCACCACCCCGGCATGAACCTTTTGTTTTATGCACTCCCCATTTGTGGCCCCACCAAGTCCCAGGACCTCCTGGTCAGCCTGCTCCTGGCTCTGGCCAAACTTGCTGTGTACCAGATAAGGAAGGTGGCCCTAGCTAGGGGGAACCTGGTCAACTGGGCAGCTGTTCTTCACGCGTCTCCAGACACGGTTTCACCTGGTAGCATCCATGGGCTCTCTGGATACACTTGCAGAGCAGTGGGTAGCTGGCCAGCATGCTCTGCTTGGTATCCCTCCACAAAACCTGTGTTATAAACCTGTGACCTTCACTGACGTCCCCATTTCCTCTTTTGTTATACCAAAAATTCTGTTGTTACACATTTCATGGCGCTCCTTTAACAAGAGAGAGAGGCATATTTCTTGGTTGGCCTATGCCCACCCAGTCAACGTTAATAAAGGCTTGTTTTCCCTCAAGTCAAGAAAGGGGTAAACCTATTTTGAGAAAGTGGGATTGAATTCATAGAAGCTTTTAAAAACCAGTTGTGTTTATGCACAAACTTTCTTCTACTGCAATCTGCCAGTATGCCTGGAGTCCCTGGAAGATGAACCACCATCAGGTGTTTTCATGATGCAGGTGTTATGTTTTAGAGAATTATTGTGCCCTAATACACTGGACTGGAAATAATATAGCATGATATCATGTCTTGCATCGTCACCTGTATGGCAAGGACCTTGATCGAAAGAGCGCGCACACTTGGTGAGTGGTTTTCACCCCTGCGTGTTTTGAGGTGACCATTCGCATTGAGTTTGCAAGTCAGCCTCCCATTCTCAAGTTGATTGCATCTGTAGGACCTGCAATGGAGTTGGAGCGCAGAATGAGCTGTCCAGGCCAGAAAAAGCTCATGATCTAATGCAAGACAAGACACAATAAGAAGGCTTAAACAAAGGAAGGAAGCCCGAGAGAACAAGGGTAATGCTGAGGGACACGGGGTTACAAAGAGCAGATATATGCACAACTAGCAGGTTACAAGCCAGTGTTTTAACAGATATAAACACGCAAGATATACAGCTCCCAGTAACACGTGGTAGCCACCTGTCCAGCCATTAACCAGAGCCATCATGGCAGAAGTTAAACTTTGAAAGCGAACAGTTGAAATAGCAGCTTTATAGTAAGTTGCATATAAATCTCACTGATTCGTTCTGCAGGACATCTCTAGCATACATGCTGTCTACCCACACAGCTAACACTCGCAGCCAGACTCACCATCTCGCATCTCAGCTACTGCAACATCCTTTTCCTTGACCTAACAAATGCAGCCCTGCCCTGTTGCAGCCACTCAGACTACTGCTGCAAAGACGGTTTCCTCAGCCCATCATGATGACCAGTCACACCCTCTTTTTGCATCTCTCCATAGACTCTCCCTTTTCTATAGCATTCAACTTGTGCTATTGTTTTTTTTTCCCCCCTTTCAAGGATCTTCAAAGCTTATGCCCTTCCTGTGACTTCCCATTTGGTACTGAGCAGTTAACTCCTGCCCTCCTCCCTGTCCACCATGACTGCCTCCATCACCAACTCGTCCACCTTTCAAACATGCACCTTTGCTGCCTATCACATTTGGGAAGAGTTCCCCAGAAACATCTATAAGGCTGCCTCATCTTCCTTAAAGGACTCTCCAAGGGCAACAGTGGCAACAATCGGGTGCCAGAAATGCTAAAACCCCTGCCCAACACACTGTCCAGTAGTGTCTCCCTGTTTCCTTGTCCTTCCTCCATCTGCCTGTTGGCAGTCACCTGTTATTTCTCGTCTTACACTTAGACTCGAAGCTCTTGGGAACCGGGACCATCCTTATGTTGTGTGCTAGCACAGCGCCAAGCACAATGGGGTCCTTCCTCATGCTCAGGGCTTCCAGACACTACAGCAATGCAAATAAATAATAGTTTGGGAAAGTGGGCCAGGAACACAGCAGGCACGAAAGAGAAGGCCAAACAACAGATGGAGGATGTTCCCCTGGCGGGCGAGCGGTGAGGAAGGCTGGGGGAATGCAACGAGACACAACACATGAGTTGCAAAGGCTCCTAAAAGGGAACAAGAAGCTTGCATCTGATGCAGAGGAGCGGGGGAAAGCCAATGCAGGGACTCACAAGAGCAGGGCGACCTTGTCAGACCTGGGGCCAGGAAAATGATCCTGGCAGCAACATGCTGCCTCAACCCAAGGGGCAAAGCAACCCAGAAGGCCGGAGAAGATGCTCTCTCAACCAGTTTACACATGCAAATACCAACCAGCCTATGTCACTAGATTAAACCCCCCGAGAAGCATCCTGTAGGGCAGGTAAGTTCTGACCTTTGGGTGCCGCCAATTCTTCATAATGCAGTGATTTACGCAGCAAATTTCCTCCAGAAGCCCATGCAATACAGGCGGGTCCATAACACTTGAGCAGCTAACAGCCCCTAGATCCCTCCACGTGCACTGCAATGATCCTACTCATTTCCTATATAATTCAACAGGGAAGCTACACCGCTATCATGCCCGGTGATCTAATTGGGACAGGCAGGGAGCTGTTGCAACAGCCACAGCAGGATCTTTCCACGCACGATTTTCATGCACGCACACACGTATTCATTCTGTTAAATGTCAGCCCATATCAGCATACGATGGGAGAGGTGGGGAAATGGAGGTAATAATATTAGCTCCATCAGCCTAAAAAAAGAAGCAAAGGGATCCAAAGCCAAACCTCAAATGGCATTTGCTCATTCCAACAGGAGGTGGTTATCAAATCTGATGCCTTTCAAACGTGGAAATACAGAAGTTTGGGTTGTTCGGGAGGCTGCTCAAATACCGCTGGTTGATATGCGCATGCCAGCGATCAAAACTCCAGGCCAAGGTTCGCCTCCAAAGACCACAAGATGGTTTGCTTGAATAAACAAGCAACCCCTATTTGAATATACAAACAGCCAGACACAAAGTCCTCCCAGAAGTTTAAGAGCTGACATTTGTTCCCCATGTCATTTAATAGGCTATAAGGTTTCCAAGTAGACCCAAAACTATTACCACATTTACTTGCAGCCCCTCCTTCGCATACAAGGAAACCTCATTAAACACACTGTCTATCATTAAACTGCTGCCAAAAGCACCATGTGCTTGGTCCGGGAAACCAACTACAAAGTTGATTAAATGCAGCCAACAATACATGACTATAAAATATAAGGTCCGTATTGGGCAAACATGTTGACAGGAACATTTTTTTGTGTGGGGCCCTTAAAAAAACCCACCAAAAAAAACAGACAGCTGCTCCCCCAGGAAGAAACGAGCACCAGCCTGGAGGTATTACAGTACCGGGCCAGCACTTGGAGAGGCTGGACCAAGCTCTGCCACCCTCCCTGGTGCCAAAAATGGTGATGGGAATGTACCACTTTTTTTTTTTAATTTCATGTCTTGGGCCAGCTCCGAATCCTATAGACTGAGCAGAGCTCAATCAATCTAGTCCGTATGGTGTTACCACCGGCAAGTCTCCTCCCTCCCAGATTCTTCAGCCTGGGACTTCAGATATTCCCAAATCCATGGCAGGCATCCTATGTGCAAGCCCCAAGCCTCGAGGCCTTAATAGCTCAGACACCTCCTAGTCTTGCTGGTCCCGAACCAAAAGGCAGAAGGAGCAAGCTAGAGGAAAAGTGCAAAAGCAACCAATCCTCCATCTCCATAAATCAGGGGTGGGAGATTATTTGGGCCGGAGGGCCACTTAGGGAAGTTCCCAAGTTAGCACCCCCCCAGCTAACCAAAAACACCTGAAGTCACGGATGTGCAATTATTTTGGCTGACAGGTCACTTAATGAGTCCTCTCGAGGGCCGCAATTCTCTCTCTCTCTCGCCCTGATCCCGATGCCACCCAGAGCTGCAGCATGCCCCAATCCCCACTTTGACCAGCTACATCCACAGCTTAGGCCAGCACCCACCCAACACGCCGGAAGCAGCCCCAGGCGGGCACTGATGTCAGCTGTGGACATGGCAGGCAGGTTTCTGGTGGGGATCAGAGCATCCACCTGGGTCCACAGCTGATGCCGTCACATCGGTGCTGGGCAAAAGAAGTACCACTCACCTGGCACAGTAAAACAACCCCACCTTAATGGCACCATGCAGCAGCTGGAGTCGGAGCCGCCGGCTGCTCGTGGGCCAGATCCCACGAGTTCGCAGCCACCCAAATGTGGGCTAGATACAATCAGCTGGCAAACCAGATCCAGCCCACAGGCCATATTTTACCCACCCCTGAGCTACACTAAGTCATTCAAGGCAAAAAAGGTATCTCCCCTGCCAGATACATAAAAACACCTAGACCAAAACCATCATTATGGTATCTTTCTAGCCAGGGAAAGATCAGTGCAGCCCATCTAAACAACGTACATGGTAGTGCCCACTGAATGCAGTCCTCCTCAGTGCCAACGCAAGTCATGGTGAGCCACTACATTGCACACATTTTTACTTCTTCACTCCCACAGCTGAGCTGCACCTTATTTTTCCCATTTCCAGTGAGTCCTGTTTCTTCACCAGCCTAAAGCGTCTGGCAAACATCACCAAATGGGGTCCCCAGAATCCTTATCTCAGCCCATTGCATACAATTATTGTGGCTCCATCTTCCATGAAAATAAGCTGGACCAGGCTGCCCTGCGCCTCATTTGCAAATACATTTTTGGAGCATCGCAGGACTCATGACAAAACCATCCAGTTCCAGTTATGAGTGGAGGACTAATTAACAAGTGGATCCTTTGTGGAAGGTATCTGGACCACACACACACACAGCAGTGCTGAGCTGTGGGGAAACCATGGCTTGAAAAGCTGTTGATTCTGGTGAGGCCGAGTCCAATTAACTATATGGTAGATCAAGAAGAGTCTTTTGGCTTTGGACTACTATCATACCTAGTTTGTACTATTATAAATAGGTACCAAAGGACTGCCTAAAAGCGTCTTCATGAAGTACCTGTGCTGAAACTTGCAGCAGTTTCCAAAAAGGTAAACTGCATCAATTCTGGACGAACTAAGTCTCTGGGTACTACATGCAAACTATTACAGCTATGTGTAATTTCAAGATCAATGTTTTCAAATTTGCTTCTCACTTGTATGTGCTCAGAGAGAGCAGGGTGTGATGGGGGGGAAGGGGCTGCATGGGGGAGAAGTTGGGGGGAGACGGGAAGCAGAGGGCAAGGTGGGTACCTGACCCTCCACATTAAATCTTCCCTACTATAACAGTGGGAGGGGAGCAAATTCAAGGCAAACCTCCAATAATGAGATTGTATACCTAGAAAATTATAATAAATTTTCCATATATAAAAGTCAAATTATTGGAGGACTGTCTTATTCTTAGGGTCAAGTAAATAGGGTAATGCCACCTGCTATGAGCTATATGGAGGATATCAAGATACAACAGCAAAAGAATCAGATAATTTCTTTGTGTAGCCCTGTTAGATATTTGCCAATTTACAGGGACTAGCTCAGCGAGCAGAAATGGATGACTTCTAACATAGAAATTACTGATATCAACTGCAGCCATTCCTCAGAGGACTCCCATCAATTCAAAGCGTTAGATTTGAACAATACTATGTCTTCTGGCTGGTATCATTAGGTTTCCTGCCTTCGAAGAGGCCAACGGGAGCAGTTTCTCTTACACTGGTGAAGCGGAAATAACACGAGCTGAAATGGCATGTTCACTTCATGGGCGAGACCCTGCCGCATGCATAGATCTCCATTCAC